GGCCCTCGCCTACCGTGCCTGCGGTCTTGCTGTGGCGAGCTGAGGAGCAGGGCTGGACACCGGACTTTGTCTAGCTGGCAAACATGGTAAGCCGTAGACTTGTGGCCGCTTAAAACTTTAAGAGTGGCACCGGCCTCCTTTCACATAGAAAGCAATGCGAGTCTCTGCTGGCAGCAATCCTGCAAGAATGAACTCTGGCCCTGTCCCACCCCCTCGCGGCTGTAAACCGCGTGGCTGTAAACCGGCGGTTGCAGTTCTGTAAAGGGACGGGCAAGCAGTCCCAATACTAACTTTCACCCTCCTGAAGGTCTCGGAGAGCCAGAAGGAGAAGATGCTCCGGGACAGCCTGCAGAAACCGGGGCCATTTGCTGCAATGCTCTGCAAGGCCATGATCCCGGAGTACCTGCTGGCGTTGTGGCAGGGAAACGTGTCCTACCACGGGGGGCCTAATAAGCTCTCCCTGCCCAGGAACCTGCTGATGAGGCTGGAAAAACACCTGCAGGAGGCGTATGAGGAGTTCTCCCCGGAGGATCTCGCCTCTATCCCCGGTTACATTGACCAGTTCTTGGCTTAGGTGCCCTTGGAGGGACAAATGACTGCAGGGTTTTGGGCACTATAATCATGAAGCGGACATTGTGAAATTTTTTGAAAATGGTTCGGACTACATATTGAGGCGCCCAAAGACAGACTAATCATGATACACTTTGCACAGATTCCCCTTTTGTTTGACTTTCCTGTTTACATGTTTTAAAGCACTTTAGCTACTGTTAATATTTTAAATATGCCAGTTATGTTGTAAATAAATGTTTAGATATTTAAAACACTTACTGCTTGATCCTTCCCCTGAATCTGTCTGGGGTAACGGCGGGGGATGGTTGGTAGGGGATCTCTGTCAGGGTGATGAAGAGCTCCTGGCTGTCGGGGAAATCAGCGGTGCCAGCGCTGTCGACTGCCTCGTCCTCCTCATCTCCTTCTTCATCTTCTCCGTCCGCTAACATGTTGGAGGAACCGGCCACGGACAATATCCCATCCTCAGAGTCCACGGTCAGGGGTGGGGTAGTGGTGGCGGCCGCACCTAGGATGGAATGCAGTGCCTCGTAGAAACGGGATGTGTGGGGCTGGGATCCAGAGCGTCCGTTTGCCTCTTTGGTCTTCTGGTAGCCTTGTCTCAGCTCCTTGATTTTCACGTGGCACTGCGTTGCATCCCGGCTGTATCCTCTCTCTGCCATGGCTTTAGAGATCTTCTCATAGGTCTTTGCATTCCGTCTTTTGGAGCGCAGCTCGGAAAGCACGGACTCATCTCCCCACACAGCGATGAGATCCAAGACTTCCCGATCCGTCCATGCTGGGGCCCTCTTTCTATTGGATTGCACGGCAATCTCTGCTGGAGAGCTCTGCATCGTTGCCACTGCTGCCACTGCTGCTGAGCTCGCCACGGTGTCCAAACAGAAACTGCGCTTCAAACTGCCCAGACAGGAAAAGGAATTCAAATTTTCCTGGGGTGTGGCTGGTCAGAGCATCCGAGCTCGGACTGCTGTCCAGAGCGTCAACAGAGTGGTGCACTGTGGGATAGCTCCCGGAGCTATTAGCGTCGATTTCCATCCACACCTAGCCTAATTCGATATGGCCATTTCGAATTTAGCGCTACTCCTCTCGTTGGGGAGGATTACAGAAATCGATTTAAAGAGAGCTCTATGTCGAACTAAATGGCTTCCTGGTGTGGACGGGTGCAGGGTTAATTCGATATAACGGCGCTAAATTCGACATAAAAGCCTAGTGTAGACCAGGCCTTAGTGTTTCGACAAATTCTTCCCACCCTTGAATTCTGGGGGATAAATGTAGAGAGAGAGCAGTTAGAAATACCTAATGTTCTCAAACAGTTTCATTTTGAAGTAACTGGTGGTGAAACTGTTTAATTAGACTTCATAAAATCTTAATATACAAATAACAATGTTTTCTGACACCTCATGTGCCAACACTTTATTTGGCTCTTATGGTTCCTAAGTCCTTGACCACCACAATTTATTTTCTCTACCCTTCTGCTTCCTCGTATTTTTTTTTTTTTAAAGGCGCTACTTGTCAAGAACTGGATGGGTAGAAGCAGTACGCTGGTTTTCCAAAAGAATGTGCCCAAAATATTTTTCATGCTGTCTGGTCAAACCACCACTTTTGCATACTTTAGTATGATATAATAAACCAGGGTTCTTTTAAACTAAATGCTTAGTCTTGATGGGGACTTAAATTTTGGTTCCTTGAACAATGCCAGTAAAATGACAGATCTGTTGAATGAGCTAATGAGTCAGATAATTGAACCTAGATCTTGTAATTTTGAGTTCTTTAGTTACTTGTAGATTTGAAAGGATTTAGTCTTTTTTGTTGGTAAACATCAATTTCACCATATGCACACAAACTGATGAAGAAAAATTTCCATTGATAAAAATGTACGTGTAGGTGAAGTAAGAAAAATGCTGCTTGAGAACTTAGAGAATGTAAGGATATTTACTTTGTATATTTTGATATGTGATGTTGACAACTTGTGTTTTAATGAGCAATAGAGTGTCCTGTGGCACCTTTAAGACTAACAGATGTATTGGAGCATAAGCTTTCGTGGGACAATGCTTTAATTTTATGAATCTCAATGTTTATCATTGTCTGATCCCCATAAATGTGCAAAATTGTGAATGTAAATAGATGATAAATTAGAGAAAAGCTTTAAAAATAAACATTGATATTTATTGAAATTATTTTTAAAAAATTATTCTCCCTAGCCTATTTACTTGGATCTGCCATAGCTATATACGAATATCTGGGATATTTTACATGTAGAACACCTCACATTGTGGGCTCCAAAATTTACTTTTTGTATTTGCAATACATTACTCTAGTAATGTTTTAAAGTTTCACTTTCAGTTCTAACTGTAGTTTCTCTAGCTACTGGCAAAACCTCTTGATTGAATTCTTGAGTACTTGTGTGGTCCCTTTATGCTGAGTAAAAGGGCTAAAGTGTCATAAATGTGTCCTAAAAACCCCAGTCCCACCTGGGGGAAAAACTTCCCCACAGCAGGTACTGAGGTAATGGCAGTAAGGGTGCCTCATTGGACCCCCTTGCCAAGCCCTAGTTCAGTGGTGCATGTGCCTGGACAGGTCTGCAATGCTGTGGGGATTCCAGGCAGTCCTGGGACACGGCTGTAACTTACAAAGGCCACAGGGGCTCTGAGTTAGGCTGTCCACTGCTCCATCCTCCAGAGCAGCCTAGGGTTTGGAGAGTGCAAAGATGACTTAATGCTACTCTAGTACAGACCCCGATCTCTTCATTTCCCTGGGATGCGTGTCTGTGCTTCCTCTTACAGGCACAACACTACATCTCACCCCTTGGATTTAGGGCTAAATCTGACATGTTCAAGGTGATATCTCCCACATATTGCACAATTTGTGTGCGTGTGTGGTACTCTAGGGCTAACAATGGGATTAAAAAAAAATAATAATTAAAAAACCTTCATTTGTACTCAAGGACTTTAAGGCCAGAAGGCACCATCATGATCATCTAGACCTGTCCTGCACATTGCAGGCCATAGAACCTTACCCACCCACTCCTGTAGTAGACCCATAACCTCTGGCTGAGTTTCTGAAGTCCTCAAATCATGATTTAAATACTCCAAGTTACAGAAAATCCACCATTTACACTACTTTTAAACCTGCAAGTGACCTGTACCCAATGCTGTGAAAGAGAGGCGAAAACCCCCAGTCTGTGCCAGTCTGACCTGGGGGGAAATTCCTTCCCAACTCCAAATACGGCAGTCAGTTAGACCCTGAGCACGTGCACAAGACCCATCAGCCAGACACATGGGAAAGAATTCTCTGTAGTATCTGGGAGCCCTCCCCATCTAGTGTCCTATCTCTGGCCATTGAGAATATTTGCTACTAGCAGTCGCAGATCGGCTACATACCATTGTAGGCAGTCTCATCATCCCATTCCATCCATAAATTTACCAAGCTCTGGCTTGAAGCCAATTAGGTTTTTTACCCCCACTGATCCCCTTGGAAGGCTGGTCCAGAGCTTCACTCCTCTGATGGTTAGAAACCTTTGTCTAATTTCAAGCCTAAACTTGTTGATGGCCATTTTATGTCCATTTGTTCTTGTGCCAACATTGGTGCTTCACTTAAATAACTCCTCTCCCTCCCTGGTATTTATCTCTTCGGTCTATTTATAGAGAGCAATCGTATCTCCCCTCAGCCTTCTTGGTTAGGCTAAACTAGCCAAGCTCTTTGAGCCTCCTCTCCAGGAGGTAAGTTTTCCATTTCTCTGAACATCCTAGGTAGCCCTTCTCTGCACTTGTTCCAGTTTGAATTCATCTTTCTTACACATGGGAGACCAGAATTGTACACAGTATTCCAGATGAGGTTCTGCCCCTCCACCCAAAAAACTCTCATTTACATTCCAGTCCTTTTTTTAAAAAATGTGATGTATACAATGACTTTATCTTTTTTTATGAAACACCAACTGTTTACTAAGAGGTAGTTTAATAGCTGTAAAATTTGAAGCCATCCATGTCCTGCAGATTTTCACCCCCATCCGCTTTCTGCCCATCTGGTTGGATAAAGTAACCTTCAAGCATGATCAAATAGAGTGACTTAATAAGCCCTGCTAACGTAGAAAAGCAATTGTGATGTGACATCTTTTAAAAATTGTTAAGATGAAATGTTAGAACACTTGGGAGCCTGAAAATCCATTTGTACTGAAACTTGGAATCTTTAATCAAATGGGGGAATAATTAGCTGCAGTGGTGGCAAAAAGAGGTGCTGCATTGTTGGAAACCAACCTGAACGTGTCTCAAGGTGGATCAATGTAAATTGTGCTTATATCTGTTTTCCACTGGAAAACCTACAGTAGAAACAGTTGTAGCTGTTCCTTTTGCCATTGTTCTACAAAACAAAATTGCTTATGAATTCTTGAACTATTTTAAGTCACTTTTATAACACATGTATCTTTTTGTTTGCAGCTTACCAAGGTGGCCAGTAAAGTTCTCTCTGAGGAGCCAAAAAGCAGACAGCTCATGACTTCTGATCAGGACACTAAAGTTGTGGCTGAACCGCAGGTGCAGCAAGTACAAGAAGTTAAAGACAGTTCTCATCTAGTAAGTATTATAGTAAAAAAACCCAAACATTTCACTTAGTTACCTCAAACTATCTAATGTAGTCTTTGTTTTGTATATTAAACAAATACGCACTTTTGTTTGGTAGTCTTTAATACAAATTGTATCCCAGAACACTCTCTAATACAAGATATGGGCAGTACATGGCACCACCACCAAAACTCCTGAGAAATAGCTGGCTAGGTGGCTGCATTTCCACAACTCCTGGAAATTCACCTTCATAGTACAAAGATATTTCTCGGTCTTGAAGTAGTATGTGCCTTTAGTTAACATGTTATGCACTTACTAGTATGCTAAAGCCAATTGGAGAGGTGTTTAATTTTATTTGTTTATATTAAAAAAAAAAAAAGCTACTAACCCTCAAGTTAGTCAATAGAGAGTGCTAGAACCTACACATGAGGAGAGATTTTACGGGAATAAATCTTGGCATGGATATCTTTAGATTAAAAGTGTTGATAACTTGTGTAAAATGGGAATTTGCATCCCATGTAATGAATTTTGCATAGTCAAAACACTCTGGCAGACGGCACAAAATACATGTTGCTGTGCAGGATCTAATAAATTGCATTATGGGGTTCTTGTGGCTTTTGGCAAAATGCATGGTAAATGCAACTTGTGTACAGACTTAGTGATAGTAGCAAATGTTCCAAATAACTTACACATTTGGGTTTGAATTTTTTTATTAACAAATGGAAAATTTAACTTCTTGCATAAACGGTACTTAAATGATTTGAGACTAAAATGTAATAATGCTTTAAGGAAAATATTGCCTTTGGGACTGGGTGGGGGGTGAGTGGGGTAGGATGGGGGAGGGGGAGCTGCACTTGGGGCAGGAGCAGGGAGCCATCAATACCTCTCTCGACTGAGCTGTCCCAGAGTGCTCCTCCAGGCTCCAGCAGCAGCTGCTCTTCCCCCTCCCCTTCTGTATAACAAACAGATCACTAGGCCACTTTAAACTAGTGTACTCTGCTTTTCTCACTTCCACTAATTAAACACATGTATTCTCCAGGTTGTCCTAAAACATGGGCATAAGTGGAGGTTGGGGACCTTGTTTTTTTGTTTTGTTTTGTTTTTGTTTTTAGTTGAGTGACTTCCCTGCCTCAATTCGGTTCTGCCTCAAACTCAAATATGGATGTTTCTCTTCTCTTTAAAATCAGACAGGAATATGTTGAGCCAAATTCAGAGTGGCATTATTTCAGATGTGCAGAGTTTTTGTTCCATGCTAAAGTTCTCTCTCTTCAGAATATCTGACTCTAGGGAACAGTCAAAATACCAGTAATTTTCAGTGCTACATCTGGACCTAATAGGTATATCAGTTGTTCTAAAGAAAAGGGTGTCAGCTTATTTGCATTAGTTTCCCACTCACAGAGAAGCCACTCACTATGCTTTTTGTCTAATGCTAGTTCTTCTAAAATAAGTAAAATGTCCTTAATTAAAACGCGTAATGCTAGATGCAGATTTAGAGCCAAATCTCAAATGTCTGCTCTTCCATATCTGTTTTAGAAATGGGATTAACCATCTTCAGTAACTTTAGAGAAAACCGATTTCATCTAATGTCTAAACTCTCTAGTAAAGGAGCCACTGAAGGCAGACAGTTAACATGAGTTTGGAAGACTTGAAATGTTATCCATAGCATTAGACCTGAAGGATAAGCATGGTCTCTAGTTTTCAGCTTTTCTCCCTATAAAGTGTCATTATTTTTCAAGCTTTTCATGAACTATACCAGTATCATGGTTCTTAGGATACTGCTCGTGTAGAGCACCTGTCAGTGACTTAGTATATTGACCTATGCTTCTGAAGGGGTTTCTTTAAAAGCCATATGTTCCCTCTCATACAAAATGTCTGAATATTTTATTAGTAATTATTTGATGTTCCTGTACAAAATCTGGGAATGTGGCTGTAGATTCATGAGCAAAACTTGTCTCTTCAGTAGAATTCAAGAAACATACAAAGAAATAGGTTATCTAATTTTTAATCTAATTCCAGCTGAGGCCCTGGCTAAAACATGATTAACAAGAAAGCACTGTTTTTCCCAATATATTTGAATTACCTTTTTAAAGGTTATAAGGCTATATTTCTGTAAACTGGTGCAGAAATGTGCAGATTACTTCTCTGGACCTCTGTGCACTGGGGGTATTCAGCAAAACGTGTTACTGCTTGTGGAGGCCCTACCAGAAACCCTGAGAGCACAAGAGCCCTTCTGCCAGGAGCGTATTGGAATGCGTTGAATCGTATTCCCTAGCCATCCTGGCAGTGCACCTCGAATGAAGGTTAGGCTGTCTGCTTTCTGCCAGTTCAGCCACCCCTTCACAGAATGTCTGTTGCCGAGGTTTCTGGAATAGATATAGACCTCGGCAAATGTAACTCCTTAGGTATTAGTCTGGAGCCTTGAATGAACCCACAGAAGTGTGGGTTTTGGGGGGGGGGGGGTTGTTTTTTTAATTTTTGTAAAGGATTAATCTTTCTCAATAAAATGTGTCAGTCTTCCTCTGCGAACATAGTAAGATCAAAACTTACAACACACATTTAGCCATTCCATAGTTTGAGCAGCTAGTGGTCCGCCTAGTAGTAAGCAAATTAAGACTAATTTTTTTTGTTAGGACCCCTTTGCCCCTACTGCCTCCACGTCCCTACCTAAAAATCTGGCTGTGTAGACAATGGCTAAGGGTATGTCTACATGAATGGTTTAATGCAACTTTTTAGCTGCACTTTTGGTAACTCACAGTATGCAAGTGCCACCAATAATATGCACCCAATATGCTTGTTCTGTTTTCAATTTCAACATGGTGTGAACACACATTGGTAGTTTGCTGCAAACTGATGGAGTATCATTCTCAAGGGGATGTGGGGGGTGGAACATCCCGTGGTCCTTTGCTGTGTGGCTGAGCAGTGTATATTATGGGATAGTTTTCACTGTGAATTGTGGGATGCGAAGTGGAAGTTAGAGGATTCAGATTTTTAAAACCCCATGTTCTTGGTGTTTCATGTCGTGCTTCCTTTTTGGATGAGCTTTTTTGCCGTTTTGCTTTCTGCTAGCATAGACCCAGAAATGCACTATGCTGCTGTGGTGGCAAGTGAGAGTATGCAGAGGCTGACTGGGCTGTATTACAGTGCACAGAGCCACACATTCGGCTTTGGACTTCATGCACCTTACCACCAAGCAGAAGGAAGGAACATGTTAACTGAGTAGTTGCAGGAAGGTAACTGAGTGCATTTGGCTGTTTTGAAAGGCAGATCGTGCTGCTTATGGAATCATTTGGATGCAGCAGAAAGAGTCAATTATTATAGTTGTCTTCTGCATGATATTTGTGAGACCAAGGGGGGTAAGCCTTATCAATGGGTGGAACTGAGGTGCAGAGACTTGCTTAGCAGTTCGAGCAGCCAGCAAGGCATCCTGTAGAGAATATTAACACAAAGGAGAATACTTTTAGGGATGCCTGTTGCTCATATTTTGAATCTCCTGGTTGAATGTGTGTCTGTGTATCCCACTGCTAATCCATGGGGGGCAAACTGGGATAGGTTTTGAGCAGTGCAGTTTAAGGCTGGTGGAGGTTGGATATTGCCTATACACTTCTGTAAAACTTTGAGTTATTTTAGCTTTATTTAAAGAATTTTGTGTTACATTAGTGATGAGTGAGAATGGACCAAAATGGATCTTAAACAATTTTTATTATGAAACAGTAACAAAGCCAAAAACTTTAAATAATAATAAATACCTTTTTTATTTGAAAATACATTTTCCAAAACACTGTTTTATTTAAAGGTTTGCTTTTTGTTGGTCAATGTGAACCAAACTAAAAGTGCAACAGTGTAAACAGAGCAAATATAACAAGTTTGCAGGGGGAAGGAGCTTAGTTAGTGTGCATAGGTCTTGCCTCTTGTACTCAGTTGTTCTGGTGCCAGGGCTCCAGAGTTCTGGACTTCTGGAGCCGGTGTTCCTGGTGGGCAGATGTTGGACCTGAGAGGGAAGTGGCCTCTCCAAGTACTACATGGATATGGCATGGAGGAATTGCTGCTGGTGCCAGTAGCCAGTATTGCGGCCTAGCAGGAGCATGTTTTGTAGGAGAGCATTCTGTCTCAGGACTGTGTTCGTGCATTGCCTCTCTGTATTTCTGTCTTTTTCAGTGCTCTTCTTAGCCACTGTGATGCTTTCCTTGATCATTGCCACAATCTCCTGGGAGAGCTGGCTTTCTTCCTCTGAGTCCTCATGTACAGCCTCCACCTATCAGCCAGTGTGGTCTTCGTTTGGGACTCTGCCATGAGTTCGCCAAACATTTTGTCCCGAATCTTCCTTTTTTGCTCCTTTTGGGTTGGCCAGCCCCTCAACAGTAGCTAGAGGCCCTGTTCTTGATGGTCTGGCTGTTGCAGGTGCTGTGGTTGTGGGAGTATTGGAAGTGGGGAGGGGACATCTAGTCACTTATTGTTCATATTTCAGACTGGCCATGGTAGCATTTTCATTTATTATGCGTATGTGACTTTACCTCCTTAAGATACTTGCCGTCTTGGGGAACCTCGGAGATGGTAAGTGGCCTGCGTGTGAGGAGGTGCTGCGTGCACTAGGATTTCTGTATGCTATATGTTGGCTGCTGTGCTTTTAGTAGGTTGGTGGAGTGGGTTGGGTTGAGTTGGAATTCTGTTCCCATTTTGGTTTTGCAGTTTTGTTTTAAGCCCTCTGGTGTTGGAGGGATTGGGGATGCATTAGAGGCCGAGCAGAGAGTAATCCCCTGTGGATCCCCATTAGGCTGTCCTCACTCTCAGTGATGTTGCACTGAGGCAGGTGACTAGGAAGCAGAGAAGAGTATTACTTAAAGGAAAGGCCAGACCAGCGGGAGATTCTGTGAAGTTATTCACCAGAGTGGGTCACTTCAGAAGTACTGCAGGAGAGGAAAAGGCTTGAGAGCTATACTGGGAGGGGAGGGGAGAATGGGTTTGCTATACTGGGGACAGATGGGCATGCAGCTATTCCCTACAGTGTGCAAACT